AAAGGCCCCAAAGTTGTCCAAAGGTCAGGGCCATGAAATCAAAAGTCAACTCAGTTACAAAATGGAGATTAAAATGGAACATAGTGGCTCATCTCCTGCCCTAAAAAAACACATAAGATGCATGTCTGTCCCTTGTCTTGACTGAAACAAACAGCTTCATGAGGATGTAGAGCAGTGGTTCTCAACTTGTGGGTCCCCAGATGTTTTGGCCTTAAACTTCCAGAAATCCTAACAGCTGGTAAAGTGGCTGAGATTTCTGGGAATTGTAGACCAAAACACCTGGGGACCCACAGGTTGAGAACCACTGATGAAGAGCCAACTCACAGTTACAGACTTTATGTGAGCAAAGCTGGAGATCACATTTTAGATGGTGCACTAAATAAGGTAAATTGCGAGCATTAGCTTTCACCTAAATGGAGTAAGTGAAAAGTCTAGAACATTGTTGAATGGTGATGGTTTTCCTTCAGAGATGTAAATACATTTTTTTTAAAAAAAGCAAAGTTAGTTTTCCTGGTCCAAGGAGGAAACACCTCAAGAATGAGCAAATGCATACAAGCATGCGTGCTTTTGAACTCTACAAACTTTTCCAATGGGCTGAGTGATACCAAATGTATTGGATGGGGAAGAAAAAAAGTATAGAAATTATGTTGATAGGGCAGTGAGAAGCCATCACGCTGCCCCGAGTCGCCTTCGGGCTGAAAAGAGCAGGATAAAAATGCTGTAAGTAAGTAAGATAGAAGATAGAATTTTCACTTATATCACGACTGCGACAAGACTTACATTTGCTAAACGTTGGAAAGAAGAAGGGAGGCCCACTATAGAGCAATGGCTAGAGAAATTAAGAGATATCAAAGACATGGACACACTGACGTTCCATTTGAAAAAAGGGTCAGGAAACCCACCATCCAAAACGAACTGGGATATGGTGGAAGAGTACGAGACGAAAAGAGAGGAAGAATGATCTGCTCTAAATCTGCAAAAGAACCTAAGGAGGAAAAAAAATGAAAAGAAAACAAAGGGTCAACTAGAGTAGGACCCCACCCTCAGGTGACGAGGGGAATAAGGGGAGTCTGCAAGCAACAAATATAGTAACTGATTGGACATAAAATGGAAGTCATATGTTTTAATTTGTGTATAGTACTTTTGGAGTGCCTGTATGTATTGTCCGATGGGAAGAATGTATGGTATTTTCTTATGTGTAAATGTATGTCTACTTCTTTTTTTTTATTGAACTGAAAAATTCAATAAAGATTATTTTTTTTAAAAAAGTAAGTAAGTACATACATACATACATACATACATACATACATAAATGGAGGTTGGGCTAAAATATTGACATTACAAAAAAATGCATAAATAAACAAATATTTTGGATAAAATTGCTGCTCTGCTTTCCTTCTCATTAAAATAATTCATAATTTATATGTATATGTATGTAGAAGGGAGTCTGATTTGGAGCCACATTCCGAGCCCTGCGATAGAAAGTCAGGTTGTGGTTGCTGCCTTGGCTGTTGCTGCTGATATAATAGTTCTGATTTCTTATTAAAGGTCCACACCCTCCCCCCGTACCCTAAGTCTGTCATTGGGATTTCCTCCTTGAGTTGCAAATCACCTGCCTACACAAATCAGGCAAGGATTTCCCACATCTTGCCCCACTCCCCCACATAAATTTGAATACTGTCATCAACCAGGATGGTGTAGTGTTTTGAGTGTTGGAGATCTGGAGACCAGGGTATGGTTTCCCACTCAGACATGGAAGCCCGCTGGGTGACCTTGGACAAGTCGCATACTCTCAGTGCCAGGAAACACGATAATATGTGTTGTAATTCACCTTCGGTCATATAAGTTAGAAGAACCTTGAAGGCACACAATAACAACAAACAGCAAATAATACAGACAGTAGAGACTCTCTCTTAACATGAGCTGGTGAGGAGTTCTTTGCCCTGCTTGCAAAAGGGAACTGAAAAACTACTGGTGGAAACTTGCACAGAGAAATGAGAACAGCTGTTGCCACATTCACCTCCCTTCCCTTAGGCAAGAAATGGGGGGGGGGGGGMGAGAGAGAGAAACTACCACAAGATTACTTGAGCCACATTGACAAGCATGTGCTGCCAGAATAGTGAGAAAATAACAATGAAGGTTTCTGATGGGCTGTAAACACTTCTAGGAGAAAGCCAGGAATCCTGTAAGAGTGAAAAATCAAATTGGGCACACCACCAGGAAATCAAAAGACATTTACTTCTGTGTTTTTCTTTTTAATGTAATGTTTAAGTCTAAGTTACTGATTACTGAAACTTGGATGTACCCCTGGCTTGGAAAACCCTTAATAAAAATCATTTAAAAAAGACATTTACTTCTTGGGAGGAGAGCAATGACCTATCTTGATAAAATAATTGAAAATAGAGACCACACACTGGTAAAGATCCGCATAGTTAAAGCAATGGTATTCCCCATAGTAACTTATGAATGCGAAAGCTGGACCATAAGGAAGGCTGAGTGAAGGAAGATAGATGCTTTTGAACTGTAGTGCTGAAGGAAAATTCTGAGAGTGCCTTGGACCACAAGAAGTTCAAACCAGTCCATATTCCAGGAAATGATGCCTGACTGCTCACTAGAGGGAAGGGTATTAGAGGCAAAGATGAAATACTTTGGCCACATAATGAGAAGATAGGAAAGCTTGGAAAGGATAATGATGCTGGGCAAAATGGAAGGAAAAAGGAAGAGGGGCCTACTAAGGGCAAGATGGATGGATGGTATTCTTGAAGTATCTGGCTTGACCTTGAAGGAACTGAGGGTGGCAACTGCTGACAGGGAGCTCTGCCGTGGGCTGGTCCATGAGGTCACAAAGAGTCAGAAATGGCTGAACCAATATACAACAAAAAGCCAGACTTAAAGCCCTTTCACACTACACAGTTCTGGCACTATGGGATTTGCAGTTGAGTGAGGCACCACTAAACTTTGACAGAGAAGGCTAAAGACTTTGTAATACTGCAACTTGATTTCATGCCATTGAGCTATGGCAGTTAAAGTGGTGTCAAACTGCATTAATTCATCAGTGTAGATGCGGTCTATGATGCCTCTTTAACAACCATGGCAATATCTTACGGAATCCTGGGGAATGCAGTTTATGAAAGAGTACTATGAATGTTCACCTGGAGAGTTGTAGTGCCTCATTTCCAAACTACAAAGCCCAAAATTCCATTTTATGTAACCAAGGAAGCTCAAGGTGGAATCGTACGGTTATAATTGTGTGGTGGGAACAGGGAAAAAGATTAGCAATGAATAGTTATACTAGTAGTTATAGTAGGCATCCACCAACAAACCCACTCATTTTCAACTCCCAATCCAACTGTCCTACTCTCCCATGCATGTCCCTCGTTGCCCCTGCCTGAGTAGCTTTCTCAGGATCGTTTGGGTAGCACTGTAAAGAGAATTTTAATTAAAACAAATGTACTGTTCCAGCCTCTGAGCAAGGCAGAACACATGCTCCGAGACATTTTGCATATCCACTCATAAACTTCCTCTTTGAGTGTAGTAACATTTGCCACAGGATATATATTTATAAAGAGTTCAGAAGCTCGACATGCCTCACTCCCATACCAGATTCCCACATCATTTGCATCCTTTTACATTCTGTTGTGAGACCTGCAGCATTTTCTCCCCACAAAACACTTCTGAGAAAGATGCAAACAGGAGAAACCAGCTACAAAAGGAAACACTGATCTCTGTCCATGGTGCTGTTTCAGTGCAATTCCAGTCGATCATTCCCAGTTCTTTTTCCATCTATGCTCTGCAATTCTACTGTTTATGTTTTTGAGCTAAAAAAATTTCCACAGAACAGGATGCAAAAGGTAATAAAAGTTCACTGGCATGTACATATTGTCAGAAGGAACTTCCTTGTACAACTCATAAACTTTCTATTATATGCCGAGAACATAACGATCTCCTAACACTTGCCCAATAAACCAGCAGTTGAAAAGCATCATTGCAATGGGAATTGAGATTATGGAAATGTACTCAGCCCCTTATACTCGAGTCAAAGTTATTTATTATTTTACTCTGTTATTATTATTATTATTATTATTACATTTATTATTTTATTCTTCTTATTATTATTACATTTCTCATTTTACTCTATTATTATTATTACATTTATTATTTTATTTTATTATTACTGTTATTTTTACATTTTCATTATTTTACTCTATTATTATTACATTTATTATTTTCTCTATTATTATTAGAAGGATAGGTAAGCACATTTACACTGAAGAAGGTAAGAATAATGGTTTAATCAGAGTTGGGCAATCTAATCTTATATTACAGTTTTATGTAAATATTCAAAAACATTTAACCTACTGATGCCTCAATTAATGCAATTGTATTGGTATCTATTTTCATTTTGAAATTTACCAGTTACTGCTGCATTTCCCATCCTCAGCTTATACTCAAGTCAATACATTTTCCCAGTTTTTGTGGTAAAATTAGGTGCTTATATTTGGGTAGGCTTATACTTGAGTATGCATGGGTAACTAAAAAGGAAAACAAAATTTCACTGAACAATCATAAGCTGAAGTTCTAACAACTTCCCAGCAAGAACATTGCAGAATAATTGCCCCTAGCTGTTGAATATGTGTGTCACATTCAGATTATGTTGTTACACCTAACGAGAGTATGTGCTCACAGTGCAGTTCTTGATGATGAAAATACCACAATATTTCTGCTCCTTTTCATTTATATTGTTTGAATCCCAATGCACAGAATGAAGTACATTCACAAAAAAGAACACAGATGTGAGGTCATTCATCTATCTAGTTCAGTATTTTGATGTGGAGATTTCCAGTGTTCTTTGTTTCTGACCCAAGCACTATCTAGACCTGACCATTCTTAGCCTCCAAAATCAGATGAAACTGTGTATGTTTAGGATGGAATGGTGAACCTATCCAATTGATTTATTATTTTTAGGGGGCAGAAATAAAAAAAACCAAGGATTTCTAGGAAATTAAGCAATATTTTTATTTTCTTAGGCACATATCTTTTCTAACCTCAGAGCTCACAAAGGAAGTGCAGTAAAATGAATCCCAAAGTATCAATTGAACTGGGACTTTTGGACAGATGAAATATTTTTAAAATTTAATTACAATGTGGGGAAACAACAAACTTGCTTTCACTGTTACAGTGATACACTCAGCTGGTGCTTATGTCCTGTCACTGTCCTTATCAAACGTGATGTTTATATCACGCTTGAGTGAGGGCCTGCTAAATCTCACCCTTTTAAATCTGCTGTTATGCCAACTTCTCACTGAGGAAGTTTTCTTGTGTAGTTTTGGTGGTCACCAACATCGTTGCCCCGAGTTCAGTTGCTGGCACTGGAAAGGTAGGATTGCAGTTATTGTCATAGGAAGGCAGGAAGTCTACATCCGTGATGTCATTTCCTGGTACAGGAATATGGTGCACACTTGTCTTAAAGTTTTCTTCTGTGGAAGTATCTGAAGTGACAACCGAGTGTGGGCATTCAGGTACTTCAGGGCTATCATCTCCTGGGCTGCAGCCAAGGTCTTTCTGAACTTCATTTTCAATGGAGTGATCATTTCCTGGAATAGAAGCAACTTCATGAGTAATGCACAAACGTTAAGAGGGTGTAGGCTAAGAGCCTTTGAGTACAAGAGATATCTTTTGTCCTTTTTTTCTTTCTTTCTTTTCTTTCTTTTCTTTTTTACTTGCAACACATGTGAGATAAAAGCAAAGAGCCAAAAAGCTTCCCCAGGGAAAGCTCTCTCTTCACTCAACTTCAGTAGCATTTGAAATCTTCAGCTACTCAACACTTTCAAGGTAAGATGTGACAAGATGAAAATCATGACTTATTAAACATAAGATGGGACAAAAAGAAAAGATTGAGGTTTATTGAGATACCAGGGACTTTTAAGTGTTCTGGGCAGTTTTTTAGAAACTGGGTTAAGATGACAGTTCTCAGCTACTCTCTTTCTCACATGTCTTCTCCAGCCATTTTACAACAAAGCACATTTATCTGCCAGTAATAAGTAACTGAGTATTTCTTTTTTTTCATTCCAACTTCTATTCCCCACAAGGAGGCAATTTGGTGGTCTCCAGCCACATATACAACTGTACAGATTCTTATTTGGACTCCTTTTACCAGCCTCTCTGGTTGACCTTTTCTTTTTTCTATCAACTAGGGGTTCACAAACTGGCATCTCATTTGAGCTGTCAGGAATGCTTTCTCTTTCAAATCCCAAGCTTCCTTCCCAGTGTAACTTTTCCTCACCCTTATGTGCATTTCATGCTAACTATAAAAAGCTTTTTTAAAAACTAGAAATAACTAGTAATGCCCTCCCTAGGGATATCAGATCGGCCCCCTCCCTTTTAACATTCTGTAAAAAAGTCAAAATTTGGCTTTTTGAGTAAATGCAGTGTAACAGGCAAATATAGAACAATGGAACAATTGGATGATGTGATTGGACATTGATTTTAATAAGGAGACACTGTTGATATATGTATTATATGTTTTTATTGGCTCTGTATGGGTTTTTTTATATTATATGGTAAATGTTTTAAATTGTATTTTATGGTATCTGGGCATCGAATTGTTGCCAACTGTAAACTGCTTTGAGTCGCCTTCAGGCTGGGAAAGGTGGTATACAAATATGGTAAATAAATAAATAAATAAATAATGACAAGATTAATACTGTAGAGATGTAAGGATGTGTATGTTAATCATAAATTAATGTACACCAAAATAAGAGATGAATAGCAGTGAACATGTTCAGTTATGACATAACTGGCATTTACATACTATCTAGGAACATCAGAAAATAAAAAAGATTAAAGATTGACCTCACATCAGACTCTGTTATGTAATAGCCACAAAATATATGTACAAGATCACAAGTGACCAGCTCTATGGATGGCCAGCACTGCTAGCCCTCCTATACACTGAAAGATGTATTCCCCACTTCCTGAAATCCAGTGGTGTTAAGCCAACTTGAAAGCCAACTTGAAAGTATAAGAGACATAGGCAGTGTGCATCTTGTTCTGAAGCCAATCGGTACCTCCAGGAAGCTTATTAGCTTCATGAATTTTCTCCATGCACCTTGCCCTAATTGAGCAATACTCGTTTTCAATTGAGCTCCTGTCTCTACAGCATGTCAGCAAATGCCAATATAATGTGTTGTTCTTTTAATGTCACAGAAGCCAATCCACTGGTGGTGGAAGCAACAGGAAACTCAAGAAGCAGAGGTGTTTGGTGTGTCGCCTGCTTCTAGCCTAGAATCTAAGATGGAATCCCATTAGTTCACTACAAGAGTGGTTGCAATTTTTCAGGATCATGTAGCAATGGCAAGGGAAGGCAGATAAAATATTTCAAATCTCTGAGCATCTTATTTCTCCAATGTCTGACTATCTTTAGAGTCATCGGGTTTATTTTTCCTGTTGCTTCCACCTATGCTGGCGAAGTTATACAGTAATCAACAATATTCCAACCCTTGCCACTAGATCAGTGGTTCTCAACCTATGGGTCCCAGATGTTTTGGCCTTCAACTCCCAGAAATCCTAACAACTGGTAAACTGGCTGGGACTGCAGAGAGTTGAAGGCGAAAACACCTGGGGACCCACAGGTTGAGAACAATTGCACTAAACTATTAACTCCATAATGGATTAAAATCAATTCTCAGAAAGGTTTGCAGCACCTACTTTTGGAATGCTCCTTACCAGCTTTCCTCATCTTCTTCTTTCTCCTTTGTTTCAAGTACATTACAAAGCATAGAACTGCTATGGTGAAGGTTAATCCCACAAAAACAAAGGTTAAGGCTGAACAAGTCTGTTCTGTAGTAAGAGGTGCTGGTATCTGGGTTGTAATGGAGGCCACTGTGAGGATGGTTCCTGTGGAGGAAAACAGAGGCTGATAATGGGCCATATCAAAAATGACAGGTGGATTATTGTTTTGAACAACTCATGCACTTGAAACACTTTATCTTAACAATAGAATACAAATAATGTTTGGTATATCTTCTTTGTTTCTCTAAAGACATTACTATCTTACCTTTCCTTCCAAGGTGCTTCGGAAAAGGTTGCACAGTTCCCAATAAGAATAAGCACCCCTTATTTTATTATCACATTGACTGTGTGAGGCAGGTAATGCTAAGATAATACAATATAACTGGCCAAAGGTCATTCAGGGAGGTTTGTGGCAGAATGAAAGTGAAAATGCCAACCTCCCTACTTAAAGTTGCAGTTCTCCCTAAAAGTACTCTTTGTAGGTGCCCCGCCATCAAAAGTCCAACAAGTGTGTGTATGGGGGGTAGGGACTTCTTGCTTGTGTTGTCTCACCTATGGAGCTCTTTGTTCAAATAAGCTCTTCTGGAGATTGGAAAACCTATTTTGGATTCCCAAGACTTCCCAGACAGTAAACATAATAGATGGTGGATTTAGAAAGTTGTAATTGATACTTAAGTGATACAAAAGTTGAAAAGCAGTTATGGAAAGAAAACATCAGTGGGTATTCTTATATAAACTATATTCAAGAAATGAAAATTTGTTTTTCTCTTTCCAAAGTCTAGTAGCAATAAAAGTCAGATAAAGCTTGTGCTAGGAAACAAAACATTTAGAACCTTGCAGAGACTGCTTGAAGGTTTTGTCCAAAATATACCAAGGAATGACCTTTTCTTTTGTTAACTCCCACTTATCATTTTCCTTTGGGTGTCCAGATCAATGATTTGTTAACATGCTGGAGTAGCTGGCGAGGCAGACTTATTTCCTCATCCATTTTGCTGTTCATACTTGCTCAGTAAGGGGCTGTAGACAGCTATGGCCGGCCCTCCTTATCCACTAATGCTGCATCCAATGATTCTACATTTATGGCTTGAAAATATTGAAAATAAACTCCCCAAAAGCAAACCTTGATTATGTCATTTTATTTATGGGTCACCATTTTACTATGTAAATGTATATAATGGGTACTGAGCTTACACGGATTTTTGTTTTGTGGAGCAGGTTCCTACAACCAAACCACAGCAGATACCAAATGCCTATTGTATAGGTACCAGATCCCTCTGGCTTTGGAAGCTGAGTAGGGTCAGCCCTGGCTAGTTTTTGGATAGGACACTGTCAGAAAAGAGTTTTAAAGATGTGCTTAAAGCTAACCTTAAAAACTGTGGCATAGACATCGGGAACTGGGGGCCCTTCCACGCATCTCTATATCTCAGAATATCAAGGCAGAAAATCCCACGTTATCTAAACTCAGATAACCCAGTTCAAAGCAGATATTGTAGGATTTTCTGCCTTGATATTCTGAGATATAGGACTGTGTGGAAGGGCCCTGGGAAGACCTGACCCTTGTGCACTCTAACTGGAGGTCAGCTGTGACCAGCAGTGCTGTGAAATTTGAAGAGGCACGAATAGAGGGCAAAAGGGAGAAACGTGCCAAGAGGAAGGTGTGTCAAGCCAACCCGGACCAAGACTGCCTTCCATCTGGAAATCAATGTCCTCACTGTGGAAGAACATGTGGGTCAAGAATAGGACTCCACTATCACCTACATATCCACCGCAAATACACAACACTTGAAAGGACATTATACTCAGACAATGAGGGATCGCATAAGTAAGTAGTGTATATACTTGAGTATAAGCCTAGTTTTTCAGCCCTTTTTTAAGGCTGAAAAAGTTCCCCTCGGCTTATATTCGAATCAAGGTTATTTATTATTTTACTCTGTTATTATTATTTTATTACATTTATTATTTTACTCTATTATTATTATTAGTAGTAGTAGTATTACATTTATTATTCTATTGTTACTGTTATTATTACATTTCCATTATTTTACTCTAGTTATTATTGTTATTATTACATTTATTATTCTGTTATTACTGTTATTACACACTTTCATTATTTTACTCTATTATTATTGTTATTATTACATTTATTATTTTACTCTATTATTATTGAGTAATAAGCACATTTACATTGAAGAAGTTTAGAATAATGGTTTAATCAGAATTGGGCAGTCTTATCTTAAATTAAAGTTTTATGTAAATATTCAAAAACATTTAACCTACTGATGCCTCAATTAATGTAATTGTATTAGTATCTATTTTTATTTTGAATTTTACCAGTAGCTGCTGCATTTCCCACCCTCGGCTTATACTCGAGTCAATATGTTTTCCCAGTTATTTGTGGTAAAATTAGGTGCCTCGGCTTATATTTGGGTCGGCTTATACTCATGTATATACGGTAAGATCCCTCTGGCCTTGGAAGCTGAGTAGGGTCAGTCCAGATTAGTATTTGGATAGGATTATCAACCAATACCAGGTGCTGTAGGATATAACTCATAGGAAGAAACTTACAAGAACATCACTGAGTCTTCTTTCCTTCAGAAAACACTATGAAAAATTCATAGAGTCTCCATGAGTCAACAGGTAACTTGAAGGCACACACATACACATGTCTACAATCAGATTGACAAGAGTAGAATTCCACCATCTCCCAATTCAATTTATTTCACTATTTACTGCAGAGATGCTGCTGACCTGACCCTGAAAGCGTTTCTCCACTCCTCTTCACAGTCCTCCCAATGCTGATATGGTTATTAAAAGAAAAACCTTACAGCTAGTCAGTAGATCCGGAAGAAAGTAGGAGGTTGGAGAGGCAGGAAAATGTTTTGTTGAAAGGAGATTTGCTGTCAGAAGATTAGTTAACTGTCATTAAATGTCTATTTTAAAAGAAGCAGGTAAGTAAGAAACAATCAGAGAGCGATAAGAATACCAACCATTGTTGGGCTAATCTAAATTACTGATAATTAAATCATCAGTTTAAACCAAATCTAAATCAAGTAATGCTTCATTGTACATCTCACAAACTATTTTGAAAAGCTGACATGGTGTAGTTAGGGAGCTGGGGCAATTGATTTTGTCATTTGTATCGCAAGCGCGATTGGTGGGGACGAGAGAGAGGGCCTTCTCAGTGGTGGCCCCTCGACTCTGGAACTCACTTCCAAAGGACATCAAGCATGCCCCAACTTTGGCAGTCTTTAGGGGGAGCTTAAAAACGTGGTTGTTCCAGTGTGCCTTCCCAGAATAATGAACCCTTAGCATTATGTCCTCTAAAAGCACTTTATACTCATTTAGGACTGCTTGTACGTTTCCACCAATGCCCCATCTCCACTATCTTGTTCATGCCCAGCATTATTTGTTAACTTAATTACATTTGGCCCAGCCATAGATTTTAAATGTGTTTTGTGCTATTGTTCAATGTTTATGCTATTTGTGTATGAGATTTATTTAAATTGCTTTGTATTAGTATTTGTATTTTGCTTTGTATTGTGGTTGTTATTGCTTGTATTGATGTATTGTGGGCTCTGCCTCATGTAAGCTGCACCAAGTCCCTTGGGAGATCGTAGCGGGGTATAAATAAAGTTTTTTTTATTATTATTATTATTATTATTATTATTATTATTATTATTATTTGGAAGTTGTAGTTGCTGGGATTTATAGTTCGCCTACAATCAAAGAGCATTCTGAACTCCACTAATGATGGAATTGAACCAAACTTGGCACACAGAACTCCCATGACCAACAGAAAATTCTGGAAGGGTTTGATGGGCATTGACCTTGAGTTTTGGAGTTGTAGTTCACCTACATCCAACCACTGTGGACTCAAACAATGATGGAGCTGGACTAAACTTGGCACGAATACTCAATATGCCCAAATGTGAACACTGGTGGAATTTTGCGGGAATAGACCTTGACATTTGAGAGTTGTAGGTGTTGGGATTTGTAGTTCACCTACAATCAAAGAACATTCTGAACCCCCCCCCCCAACGATAGAATTGGGCCAAACTTCCCACACAGAACCCTCATGACCAACAGAAAATACTGTGTTTTCTGATGGTCTTTGGCGACCTCTCGGACACCCCCAGATTGAGAAACACTTGAGTTAGGAGGTCTCCAAGTACCCAGGTATTTAAGGTCAAATCATAGACCTGCAGAGAGCTGTTGCAATTGAATGTGAGGCTGGCAGAACAAACCATTAGTTCAATGTTCAAAACATGGACTTGATTGTCTTTTTTAAAAATGTGCTGCTTTGGTTCTTTATTTCTTTTTAAAAGCTTCAGGCAAGGCAGCAGTTGCACTCTGCACAATGTGCCCTGAAACTAGTGCGGGGACAGCCATTTCTTTCTTTGTATACTATCCTTGGAAATGAAAATGATTATGTTTCCCTTGCCAGGGGCTTTTACAGTTTCACTTCTCATTGCACAGTTTTTATTTTGTATCCTTTTAATTGCGCTTTGGATGTATTTTTACACTGTCTTTAAACTATGTGTTTTTATAACCTTTAAAAAATCTGAACGATTATTTTAAATTTTGGAAGTTACCTTGGATCCCTTGACAGGAGAAAGAAAGGATATAAATAGAAAAAAATAATTAATTAATAAGCCAGGTGCTGGCTTGCCTCTAGTATTTGCTTGTGGTAATTGAAGAGAAATTGATTTTATAACAGGATCTGGGTAATCTTGGTAAGAAATTAATTGGGACTAAAATGAGTAGATTAATTTAATTGATTTGAGTGTTCTGCAGGTGAAGTACAGCTTTACAAAAAGGTCATTTTGGAGTTCTTTGGTTAGAAAATCCTTTTTTTTATTTTCCATGAGTTGTATTTTTTAATTGAAAAATCCATATATGCTTTTATTGCCCCTTCTACACTGCCATGTAAAATCCAGTTTATCCGTTTTGAACCAGATTATATGACAGTGTTAAAAAAAGGTTTTCCCTTGACTTTGGGGGATGGTGCTCATCTCCATTTCTAAGCTGAAGAGCCAGCGTTGTCCATAGACACCTCCAAGGTCATGTGGCCGGCATGACTTCATGGAGTGCTGTTACCTTCCTGC